AGGCCACACCATAAGATATGAATTGTGAAGCATATTTACTATAGGAGACTACAATATTCTGTTCCTACTATTTCAGGGAAGAAAAATCAATGAAAGAATCATTGGGTTTGGTGTCTTCATCAACGCTTTCTGTTTTTCAGCAGTTAGGTAAAGCATCAGGGAGGTACATTTCACCATATCTTGATGATTAGGAACTTCGAGCAGCAACGCTTTATGTTCTCCTAATTGCGACGAAGTTCAACCCTTTAGTGAGTAAGATATTTTTATTATAATTATTCACTCTTTCGAGTGAAAAATGTCAGGTTGAGCTAATATAAGAAAATTTAAATGTGTGAATAATTTATTCGTGGATTCGTTAAATTCAATTAAAGATAATGACACCATCAAAGAGATCAAGAAAAAATTTCCTCAATGAGTTCTGGAAATCTAGCAAATTTACTATGTGAATGGGTACATGTTTTATACGAGATTCCGGTCTGAAAGAAAAAAAAGACTTGTAATTTGGGGTGTTTATGCTAAAGCAAATGTTAATTGGACAGCATGATAGACTATTATGAGATTCTTGAAGAAGTGATTTCCTATTCAACTGTGTTTGGTTCAATCTTGTTCCTAATCATGGAATAGGGTAAACTGATGATATAATCTGGTAGAAATGAAAGTAAACATAAGGTATGCTAAATTTGAATTTTTCATTCTAGCTTGATGGGCGAGTCATGTTTATTATTTTTGATATCTCCACAAAGAAAGAGATAAAGTTAATTGAATGGTTGTCATATCGAGTAAACCTAGAGCCACAATTGATATTCAAAATAAAATTGTACCCGCTCGTCAAGAAACTAAAATGTCAGATTTATATTTTTAACTTGATCATATCTATGAAGAGCTCAATATAGAGGAAACTAGTAGCGAACACGAAGAAATTACTCTAAGTGATGAGTGTGACTCTAATGATACGTCTGAAGAAGAAATTTTGACTACATCCTCCAATTATTCTTTGGTTTCAAGAGTTTGCAATATATATCGTTCACAAATATCTTAAGTTGTATTGATATATTTATCAATTTAACACAATCCCTGTAATTTTACAGAAGCAATTCTCCTGACATTCTGAATAAGAAGCACACATTCGGGTCAACTTCGAGTGTAATGGCAGCAATCGCCAACGGGGCATGTTCGACAATATTCAGAAATTGTGGCAGCGTCCCTTATGGTTCAGAGAGGTTATTTTTGCGTCGTTGCTCATGATATGGGATTTCTCGGAGTACCAAAAGAAGAGGAAGCATGCAAAGTAGAACCGACACTCGGACTGTGGAGGCATAGGACCCTTCAAACACATTGGTGAGGCGCTCCCAGATGCATAATACAATCGGAGGTTATTAAGATTCCATTTCTGATTTAAATTTTATTATATATTAAACATATATTCTAGTTATTTTATTTCGTTGATAGACTGTGATATTGGAATGAGAGCCCTCAGCTACCGACGTATAAGAGCACACCAATAAAAGACAGTTGAAGTTGTCGTGGTTTGACGACAGACTCCGTGTAACCCAGGTAATTCACGAGCAAAACTAGTTTGTTATTTATGCATCCTAGCTCTAACTATATGTAACAACTTTTTATATGAGAGATTTTAACAGCTGAAGGAGAGGAGCCCATACTCAAAAATGTTTGAATTTTTTTTAAATGAGAGATTTGTAAAAAAGCAATGTTTCAGGTGCTATACTAGTAAATGGCATCAAAAAAAAAATTTTTTGTGCTAAGTATACAAATTTAACTCTAAAAATTAGGTTTTAGATGTGAAACAATCTAATAGAGCATGTCCCAATCAAATAATTCATATAAAACATAGAAAATTAAATTAAAAATTTGAATTTTCACCAAACACAAACTCAAAATGCAAAACACTAACATTTTAAATTAATTAAAAAAATAGTGGAAGATTGGAATCGAGATTATCTTTGATTAGACTGTAAAAACTTGAGAAACCGTTCACTCTAGACAAAATACTATCAAAGGGGCAATAGTGAGTTTCTAGAGAATGAGCACGTGGGGAGAATGAAATGAGAAATTTTGGAGTTGGTTTGTGTTTAAAGACCGCTTTCGAAGGCTTTCTGATATGCATTTATTGTCATTTTTAAATAAAGTAATAACTGATGGCCAAAACCATCAGTCATTGTCGAATAGTCATCAGTTAATATCACGTGAGAATTAACGTGTGAATTTTCTGACAACTTGAGTTTGTCGGTTTATAAGTTGGTATGAACTGATGGTTTAAACTGTCATATATAAATGATTGTCGTTAGAAAAATTGTTTATTGAAAACCTATAGATTAAGCCATCTGATATCCGTAAGTTGAATATGTCGTCAATAACCCACGAACAATTACTCAAAATTTCGATTGAATGAAAGGCCATTGATTTCAATAATTGTTGTTGTAATGTATCCTTCCGAGGAAGTAAGACTCATGCCTCTATTACTTAGGTGTGGTAGTTTCTCGCCCTACATTTTTTTTTATGAATTCACATACAAGATAGTTTCTAATTAGGGATATTTTTTTTTCTTAGCCTATGTCTAGGTCATAAGAACAGTTGAAAATCATATTACTGTTAAGTGAGAATTAAACGTGCGGCGTTTCCTAGGGCTCTTAAGATCCCCTACCTAGATTGTAATTTTTAATGACAATATGTCAATTCCACTAGACTATTGTGTGTTAAACTACTCATTTCACTAGGCGACACTTAGAATTCCTGCATCACAAGTGTTTTTACATTCTAATTGATCAGATCAGAAGTAAAAAGTGTTGCGTAGAAAAGTGTTGAAGGTTAACACAATAATGTTAACACAATAATGGGAAAAACACATACAGAATACAAACGAGAAAAGTGTTGAAGGTTAACACAATAATGTGCATACATCAAAAGAGTATAGAGTACTTAATTTTTATGGGAAAAACACATACAGAATACAAACGAGAAACATTCCACCCTTACATCATAGGAGCATGAAAGAAATCTATCAAAATGACATCATATGAAAAAATAGAAAATTTTAATTGAAACTATTAAATAAAAATAAGTGTGGGAACGTAAAATTTAGAACCAAGCAGATACTCTACGCAAGATCATCCATCCTCGCCGTACAATGATACTCTCTCCACACTTTTTCTCCCACACAAACTAAATCTCTCTTAGACACATAAAAAACCCTACCAAATCTCTCAAAGAAATTGCCCAAGTTTCTCCCAGGAAAACCCTCGTGAAAAAACCTAGAGCACTCATAAGATTCCTTAAAAGTGAGGAAGAACACCCTCCAACAGTCGAAAAGTTGTTATACTCATTCCAACAGCGGCTTTTATGGCTAGGGCATCCAAATAGTTAAGAGGAACTTCTAAAAATGAATTTTGATTGCAGGGCGCACCAAAGCTTGTGCCTGCCAGCGTGGGTGCACTGATCTTTGGCGAAAGCGGGGCGCAGGTGCACTGGTATATGGGCATGAGTGTGCTAGCCCAAGATCAAGCATGCCTTAGGAGTGGCGTGGGTATGCCACCACCTTCTTTAGACTAGGGCGCGAATGCTTGAGCTTCGTGCATAGGTGAGCCAAACCAAAATCTCTTCTTTTGATATTTGGGCTCTCCAATTTACCTTTTTTCTTCGTAAACCAGCTTAATCATTTATAACCTGCACAACATATTAAATATCTTCATCGCGTGTAGTATTATCATAAATATGTAAGAAAATATGAATTAACATAAGGAAAAATTATGACATATTACATCTACATCAAACCACACGCGCGAGAGTTCTCTTCTTTGTCGCTAGAATGGAGGTTTTAAACAGAAATGGGAGAGTAATTGCCCCCGTCACGCCCGCACCAATCTTTGGCAGGGGAATGCCGCGTCATCTGCAGTCGGTGCAAAGGTGCCCGACAGAAGGAAGGCACGGGGGCGCCACAGGCCTTGGTGTGATCGCGCTGCACACTTTCTCTCCATGTGCGGGCACACCATTCAGACTCTCGTGCACCACATCTGAAATATTTCTTATGCTTGCCCAACTTCCTTGGAGCTGCGGGTGCCCTTCCAGGCCCCACTCCTCATCAATATGGACTTTCTTTTATGGTGATGGGATGCAATAAAAATGGGTGTATTCACTTTTTAGGTGAGAATTTTGATTTGACATTTCCAACAACTTCGTTGAAATTATAATATCATAATTTACTTATGATACGTGTACGGAGAGCAAGGGAAATCAATCAAAGGAGCACAAATTTGATGAAGTCAATCCAAAACTAATTATATCAAGAAAAGTAAGCGTATTATATGCACTATTGCGTACAAAGTAGGGAAGCTCGCTGACAAATACTTGAGCGTGGAATTAAAAATAACTATTTTGGCCTTAATATGTTAATATTCAACAACTTGACACATTAATTCGTTTATATGCCCTTGTTTCAGAATTGGAAAAAATATTATAAAACTTAATTGAAATCACGTCATAAAATTCTGATTTCACAAACATTTCTGGAAGATAGTAATGCGCAATAAGAACTTATCTTTTGCTTCAGAAATCTGATTTGCTATATCTAATCAACATCTTATTTGAAATCCTTTCAAGTTAATTCTCAATTCCCCCGTTTTCCTTCCATTGACTTCCATAATATGCATAAAATCAAATAAAATCATATTTGAGGATATTTCATTATCTCTCTCTCTCTCTCTCTCTCTCTCTCGTGTGCTCAGATCAGTTGGTTGAGCATCTGCTTGTGAGTTATTAGTCCCCTCTGGTCTGGTACATCTATATATATATATAGATGGTTATAGTAAAATCATAATATTTAAGAGAGAAAGCTCCTCCTCCAATGGAAATTCGTGGACAAACTTGATTTCATAAAATTTGTCTCTCTTTTTGTCTCCATGAAAGAAAAATATAAAAAGAGAAGAAAGACCCCTATCATCTCTCACCCAACTCCACTCTCTTATTAATCAAATTCATCCTCAACCATGCATTCCATTCTTCTCTTTTTACCTACTCTCCTCTATCTGTTCTCAATTTTTTCCTCTGCAACTCTCATCCCTTTTCAATCTAACAACTCAATCCTAGACTTTGGAAGGATAATAGAAGAAAACCCTAGTGCAATCTTCAACCCAAAATCACCCCAAGAAATCTCCCTACTCATTGCATCCATCTTCTCCAAAAACAATATGAACCTACAAATAGCACCAAGAGGAGCTGCTCATTCCACCTACGGCCAATCACAAGCCTTAGGTGGCATCATTATCAACATGACTCTCCTCCCCACCATGATTAGGGTTGAGAAAGAGTTCGTCGACGTTAGCGGTGGCGTTCTGTGGATCGAGGTGTTGAAGGAGACATTGAAGTATGGAGTGAGTCCAAGATCATGGACTGATTATTTGTATCTCACCATTGGAGGGACTCTTTCTGTTGGTGGTATCAGTGGCCAGTCATTCAAGTATGGACCTCAGATTTCAAATGTTTTGGAGTTGGATGTGATCACAGGTAAAGGAACTTGATATTTCTTCATAAAAGTTTTCTTATTCTATTTTTGAATTCTCTATGAGATACTTTGTTAGCCAGCTAACTGTATTTAAGGAAATTTGCTCAAATTTTATTTTTGGACAGAATTTAAGGAATATATATATATATATAAGTATATGGAATATATATATATATATATATATATATATATAAAGCAGATTTATGACAATAGATTCTTTCATCGAGACATCATGATCAAATAACTATAATACTTTCTTTGAGAGGCATCATGATCAAATTAGCTTTGTGCTAATTAGGATAGATAACAAATCATTACTAGCTGCATGCAAGGCATAAATAATTTGTTTTGCAAAGAGAATAATGTTTGTCATATTGAAAAATTAAATAATAACTTAATTTTATTACATAAAAAGAGTAAGAGTTTGTTTGGGGCGGCTGTGCGAATACAATTCAGAATCATATCGCAGTTTTTAATGTTTAATAAAATTGTGTTTTATCTAGATTCTCAAAAAAACTGTAATAGAAAGCCGTTTTTTCCCACGAGACCTGACTAGCTGCGTTGGTTGCTAGAAAGGTATGATATGACTTTAAAAACAAAAAAAAAATTGCACCATCCACTTCAACATTTTGAACATCAGCTTCTTCTTTAGCAACTTCGTAGTTACTTCTTCAAACAGTTGAATCTGTCCCAGATCCTAAATCCAATAAAAAATTCTCTAGATGCATGCATGGAATATCGAAAGCTGAAAATATTTTATTCACACAGGCAAAGGAGAGTTCGTAACATGCTCTGAAGAGAAAGATTCAGAACTTTTCTATGGCGTATTGGGAGGATTTGGACAGCTTGGAATCATAACAAGAGCAAGAATCATGTTACAGCCCGCACCCAAAATGGTTCATATATAGACTTATCATTCATGCTAAATAACTTAAGAAAATATCACATTTTTTCAGCAACTGATTGCTTCTATATATTATTTTATTCAAAGGTGAAATGGGTCGTAAAATCCTACAAAGACTTCGAAGGGTTCAGGAAAGATCAAGAGTTTCTGATTCATTGGGGGGAGGTAGACTACCTTGAAGGATTCATTGATTTGCAGAAAAGAAATACCTCGCAGCATAAATTAAACGATGATGTCTCCTATTCCATCGAATTTGCCGTATATTACGACGACGAAGACGTCGCGCAAAAGGTATCAATTACGACGACTTTACTGCAGATTTTTTTATTGCTGTTATTTTTTTTTTTTTTTTTTTTAAACTGCTCCTTTTTTTATACACTGCATATATATTAGCTTTGAAGGAACGTTAGTATTCTATTAATTGTACGTACTTTTACTTGGATTCTCTTCTACTTTATAAGTGCATATGACCTAATTGTTCATGCATGTCCCACCCTTTCAATCAAATAATTCGAAAATATGTTTGGTGGAACAAGATTTGTCCATGAATTGCATCCAAGAAATGAAGCTAGAGCTGTGAATGAGTTTGGCCGATGCGCAAGCTGGCTTGTGCTAGGCTCATGAACTGAGTTCATGAGCTTGATGAGTTAACAAGCTAAGTTCAAGCTAGCTCTGACTTGACTCATTAGCACGTGAGTTGGTTTGTTTAAGAAAATATTGATAAAATGTACTCAAAATATATTAATTTGTAAACTTTATTTTTAAAGTAATAAAAGTATTTAAGAAATAATGTTGTGTATTAATTTTAAGTAATTTCTTATTATTTCGCTTGTAATGGTTCATTCTATTAGTCATTTTATTATAATATTATATTAACTTAATTTTATTTCTCTCTTTAATAATTAACAAGTCGGCTTGTGAGCCTACTCAAACTCATAGACTTAAGCTCTATCTCTATCTAGCTTAAGCTCGAACTCGATAAAATTAATCAAGCTCAAACTCAAGCTTGAGCCTAGGTTGGTTTAAGCTTGGCTCAACTCATTTATACCTCTAAATTCATGAAGCCTTAAAAGGGGAGAGAAACATATAGTAAGGGGGGTGGGGTGTTTTTGTATAGGATGTTAACACCTCGATTACATTTGATGATTCTTTATTTATAAAAGACTCAAATTATTGTGAAATGATAATTCTACCCCCAACCCCCTTTAATCGATCTACTTCTAATCAATTCGCTTCATGTCATTTAATTGATGGATATCTGGTGGGTCGTCTTCTTGTCGACCAACCTCTGCTTGAGCAACCTTCGAGTCAATGTACCAATGAGTTGATTGGCTCTTGGACGACCGCTCGATTGGTCTTTGGCCTATCTAGTACTATCCTTTTGTCGTCCTCCATGCAGATTTATTTTTTCTCGTGAGGTATTTCTGACAACTCGAGCTCCGCTCCAAGCCATTAAATCCCATAGAAGATTTGGTCGAGGATATTTTTATTGTACAATATTTATTTCCTTATTTATGATATTCATTATTTAAGTACGATGAAACTAAATACCGATTAATAACCCTCTCAAATATGTATTCATAAACATGGTCTTCAATAAAATATTGCATGTCTGATATATATAGCCTGAGTTAATTAATTTTCATATGTTCTTAAGTCAATGCAAATAAGAACTCTTTTGCTAATTAAAATTTCAGCTTGAATCTTATTGGAAAACAATTAGTCAGATGCTAATACTCTAGATAGCAACATTGGAACCTTTTAAATAATGCTACACACTATTTATAATCATATTTAGCTTCTCAATGATAATAACAATTCAATTACTTAATCTAGGTAATAATATTAAAATCTATGACCTCTTTGGGATTTTTATTCTTTTTCTTAGAAAATTATAAAAAAGAAATAACTTGTGTTATTTATTTTTTTTAGGTAATAATATTTTTACGTAACTTAAGTAATAGTATTTTTTTTTGGCTCATCAATGTCGTAGAAGTACATGCGAAAATTTATGCTTGTAATAATTTTCCCACACACTCACAGGGATGTAGGGTCTGGTGCGGTAGCAATGCGGTGGCGGTGCTACACCACACCGCAGTTTTGTCCATGTGGGTAAACTGTGTTTTGGTAACTTTCTCAAAAAGCTTAAATTTGAACTTAAATTTGAACTTAAATTTGTTAAAAATATAAATTTTTATATCAAGCTATAAAAACTAAAGCAATATCATAATAAATATTCCAAATGCCAATATGAACCTAGATGTTGACCTCACATAAACATTGATAAAATAGAAAATGAGTTCACACATTTTTAATTAAATTTTCTCATTAATCTACTTCTGTTTCTTCATTCATTTTATTTCTTCTTCTTTTTTTCCTTTTATTTTTCTTTCTTTTTCTCTTTGGTAATGAATTTTTTCACCTTAGTTTATAGTGCACTCACTTGAGAAAGCCTTCATATCTTTAGCCACTGCAGCCATCATCATCATACCACCTTGTCAATTGTACACTACACTAAAGAGTGGTTTACAGACAAGGTCATGCACACCACCTTGCCAATGTTTGGGAAAAGCATCAAATCAATCATGACTAAATACAAATAAATATTCTTCATATTAATTTAAATAGAATCACAGCCTTTTTTCTTGAAATATTAAATATTAATCACCCTCATTATTCCTTTATTAACATAAATATAACAGAGACTGAAGGAGATCTTCCGAAAATTGAGGTATAGGGAATCAACGGCCGAGATTACAAATACTTCCTACTTTGAATTCCTCAACCGGGTAAGGAAGTCGGAGCTGGAGCTAAGGAAGGAGGGGCTGTGGGAGGTGCCTCATCCATGGCTTAACGTCTTCGTTCCAAGAACTCAGATAAGGAGGTTTAAGAACTTGTTGCTGAAAGCCATTGCAGATACATACAATTCAGGCCCTATCATTATTTATCCAATGTTTCGGCACAAGTAAGTTCAATCTCAAGCATTTACATGCATACCACCTAATTCCTATGTATTTACATATCTAACACCTTAACATTAGTTTTTTACCTTTATGACAGCGAAATCTTTCATATAACATCAAAAACATCACTGCTTAACTTTTAAAAAGTGAAATACGCCGTTTCATGTGTAGGTAGGGTAGCTTATATATGTAAAAAATTAAAGTTTAAGTGTTAGATGTGTAAATACATAAGAATTAAGTGGTTCGTATGTAAATTTTATATGTTTTTGAAAGGCTTCATGTGTAAAGCATATTTAGATATATGTAAATACATTTAAAAATACGTACTATGCAATATTGAGTATTTAAATTGATGTTTAGGTGTAAATTTTACATGTTTGAAAGGCTTTAATATGTTAATACATTTAAATTGAACTTTAAGTGTTAGATATGTAAATACATAATTAAGTCTTTCAAATATTGGGAAATTTACATGCATACCACACAACTAGTATGTATTTACACATTTAAAACCCATGATAATTATACTTATAGCATTGGTGTCATAAATTTATGCATGAAAAATAGTGATAGTGATATGTTATATATATATATATATATATGATGTTAATTATTTGAGGGATATGCATGTAAATATGAGTATTCAGGCGTTGGCAAGATATGCAAATATATAAGATTTGTGTGTTATGTATGTAAAAGCCTCTTGTATTAATCTGAGAGAAGATAACATTAAAATTATCATTTAACATTGTAAATGTTATTACATGTAAACAAAATCATATTTAATAAACCACCAAACTTGAAATTTAATGATATTTAACTAAACAAATGAGCAGTAAAATACAAGTTGGGCGTGCGACGATTTTGCTAATTGCCGTCCTTTGCAATTCGCACGCCAATAATAAATTTATTTCATTGCTTGAAATTCAAAATTTTGTTTAAGAAAATTTAACGAAAATTGAAAGTGTTATTTAATAAAATATAGTTAAACATAAATATTAATTTCTAGCTTACTAAAACTTATGAAAACATTTTCAATAAATAATGACGGTATATTTTTCTAATTTTAAATGTGTAAAAATAATTTTAGAAAAAAATGAACGGCTTTTTTCTGCTCCACATCGGTTGTGGTACAGACCCTACTTCAATATGTCGGATCGCGATATGATCGATGCCTGTTGAATGCGTGTGTGTTTCTGTTAGGGCGAGATGTGCACTTGATCTGCAAGTATTTTGTCGGTTTGTCGGGGATGGCTAACGTTGTATCCTTCAGGTCTAGGTCGTGTAATGTGTAGGGGTGTTTTTTTTTTTTTTCCAAGATTTCGGAGTGTTTTCAAGTTTTCAATCAAAGCCTGGTGTGATGCCTAAGACATAGTTTGTCAACCCCACTTACTGGGATAAAGATTTCGTTGTTGTTGTTGTTGTTGGAGTAACAAAAGTTGTCAGGGGATAAAATCAATCTGGTAGTTCAATTATAATAAGCCAAAAATGAAATCAAATAAAATGTGCCCCTCATGATAAAAGTATAAGGGAAAAATAGTCCAGTTTGGTTACCTAAATATAAAAAGAAAATTTAAAAGAAGACATCTGACCAAAAAAATATAAAATATTTACCATAATTACATTATATTTATATTTTTTTAGTCTAACAAAGCAATATTTCTATTCAATGATATCTTCAACGCATCAGTTCAGACTGAAACCATGACATGAAATCAAAAGAAAAGCTTTTGTTTTTCACATCCATCAACCATGCGATCCTTAACTGATGGGCCAAAGCTAAGTTTACAGATCAAATAGCAAACAATCCAGACTTTATCCAATAACATATTCATCCATGCTGAACACAAGTTGAAGCCTCATCCTTCTCCCAGACACATAAGTTATCTAAAACTCAACTATCATGCCAGAGAATGAAACAAAATTCAACTTTGAACCCTTACAAAATTTCAAATTGTAAACTTGCTCTGCTTAAATATTTTCTGAAAAGCAATTCGTCATTAGTTTCATCTGATTACAAAAATTTCATGAAAAAAAAATAATAATTGCACCATGCAGATGGAATCGCAAGATGTCAGCTGTGCTGCCACAGGTTGATACTGAGGATGATATCGTATATGTTGTTAGTGTTCTTCAGTCAGCACCACCAACCTGTACTCGCGGCACTCCCTGCCTTGATGCCATGCTTATTCAGAACCAGAAGATCATCAATATCGCCACGTCTGAACCCAAAGTTCGCCATCTTCTTCCTGCAGACTTTGGAGGAAATGGCGATAGGGGAGGGATGGGTGCAAAACAATACATGCCATATCTTCAGAATGAGAAGCAATGGAAAGCTCACTTTGGTTGGAAATGGCAGAGCTTCCAGGATCGGAAGGTTTGATCCCTTGCATTGTCTGGCACCTGGTCAGAGGATCTTTCGAAGAAAATGAGTGGAGGATATATGCACATGAGATTTCATTTTCCAACCTATGCAATGTTTGTATGAAAAACGCATTAGGAAAATGATGGAATGATAATGGAAGTAGAGTGCAGGTTTGATCACAGCAATTGTAATTTGTCGATTGTACTTTTAAATTTGAAACGATTTACACTTTTTTGTTTGAAGTATGTTTCACGAGTATTTAAGAAAAAAATATGAAGAGCAGTTTATGCAGCACTCTTTTTAGGGAAATAAAATTAACTAGTTTGAGCTGGAGCCATATTAGCAGCCCTCAGGGCAAGGCAAAGTTAGGAAGAGAAGTTTAGAAAAAGTGCTCCGAGGCAGTCTAAATCATTTTTTTTTTTAGATGAACCTCCATTTTGTATAATTATAAAATTTAATGTAATAATAAGCTTACTGTTTGTGTGGAGAATATCTATGATCATCAGGGTAATGTTGTTGACATATTAGAAAATAGTTAACACCACAGCGGAACATAGAGATTTACGTGATTCGACAAATTGCCTACGTTCATGGAGTTGCAGAGGATTTTACTAGTTGAGGAATTTACATCAATCGATCACCTTGATTTACAAGAGGAATCCTCGCTCTCACTTCGTTGTTCTCTCTTCATCTCTCTCTTTTCTTCTCTCTCTACACCGAGATACACCGAAGAAACTTTACACCGAGATACACAGAAAAAGATAAACTTACAAGAGAAATAAACACAATTTCTCTTTTGTCACAAGTCACCAAGAAAAAGTCAAGTAAGAACAATCTTCTTCTTCTTTCTTCTTTCTTATTTCTTCACTGCAAGAAACTACCTCTTGCACTTTCTTTCTTTCTATCCTGAGGAAGTCTTCCTCTATCCCGAGGAAAACCGAAGAAGAACAAAGTGACTTCTAAAAACTAAATGAGAGCCACCTTGCAATACCTTTTATCATGAACAGGAAGGAACGAAGGAATGCTTCGCTTCGCAATAGAGGAACACAGAAGCGGTTAGCGCCTACGGTTCGCGAATCGACGCCAGACGGGAACGGTCCCGACTATTTTGCAATCGAAGCGAGAGATCGCAATGTTTCACGATCGGGTGAGTGGAAGCGGGGGTCAGACCGGGCTCCACTTCTAACAAATCTCCCACTTGGAGACCGGTACACATACTACAACATCTCCTTCCTCAAACTAATTTACTCCACCATGAATCCTTTACCTCTACAATACAAAGCCTCTGTTTTCACTCCAGAAGACCAACTGAAGCTATGCACAACTTCAATTTCTCAATAGTAACACCCTCAATCAACATATTAGCATGCTCCACATAGCTTTGCACCTCCAAGCAATTTCCTGGGCCACTCTTGTATCTTCTTACAACTCCCACTGCATGGGCAACATCATGTCTCTGCTGAAAGCCTTTTTCAACAAATATAGTCTTGTATCTCTTATTAACATCATGCTCAGTCTTCACCATATAAACCAACTTGTTGTGCAATGCCTTCTTCCCTGATGGAAGTTCTGTCAACTCTCACTTGCTCAAACTTTCATCTTGTAAGATTTCCTCATAGTTCTTTGGTTCTTCATCATCTGTCCGTGGAACAATAGGAATGGGTGCCTCGGACCCAATATCCTCTTCACTTTTATCATCAACATAACTATTAACTGTCAGCAACAGTGCATCATGTATTTCTTCATATGCCACATTTGCGCTATCATTCTCCATCTTCTTGAGATTCCTGCATTTCCTTCTTATGTGGCCAGCCTCGCCACAATTCCAACAGATTGTCTGTTGACCAGACTTTGATTTTTTATCTCCCTCTATTTGAGTTATTGTCTTGTCATCTCCCTCTGAAATCAACATTCAGTGTCGAACTTGTACTTGAGATCTCGCCAGAATCTTTTCTACGCACTTCCTCAGCCAAAATCAAATCACGAATAACATTTCAGTTTGGATTTAAATGCATAACTGCCAACTGAAATCCACACGACTTCCCAACTATTTGGCAACGATTCCAACAATATCAACGCACGTATCTCATCATCAAAATCAATTTCAACAAATGACATTTAATTTGTAATAGTATTGAAATCATTCAGGTGTTAAGCAAAAAAAACACCTTCCACCATATTCAAGTTGAATAACTTCTTCATCAAGTACACCTTGTTATTTGCCTATGACTTTTCATACATACCTGATAAGGCTGTCATAAGATCTGCAATCGTCCTTTCCTTAACTACGTTGTGTGCAACGGACCTCGACAGAGTCAATCGAATAACCCTCAGAATTTGTTGATCCAACAAATTTCATTCAGCCTCATCAATTCTTTCAGGTCTTTTCCCCAATAACGGAAGATGAAGTTTCTTTCCATAGAGATAATCCTCTATCTGCATTCTCCAATAATCAAAATATGTGCCATCAAACTTCTCGATCCCTGAAACCTTCACTTCACCTGCAGCCATCATTCCTCCTCAGATCCGAAACACCGCTCTGATATCAGTTGTTGTTGAGATATCAAAAACAGTAACACCACAGTGGAACACACATATTTACGTAGTTCAGCAAATTGCCTACATCCACGGAGTTGTAGAATATTTTATTACTTGAGGAATTTACACCAGTCGATCACCTCAAATTACAAGAAGAATCTCTCACTTCGTTGCTCTCTCTTATTCTCTCTCTTTTCTTCTCTCTCTACACCGAGATACACGGAAGAAGCTTTACACCGAGACATACCAAAGAAGATAAACTTACAAAAAAATAAACTCAATTTTTCTTCTGCTACAAGTCACCAAGAAGAAGCCAAGGAAGAACAATATTCTTCTTCTTTCTTCTTCCTTCACTGCAGAGAACTACCTCTTGCACTTTCCTTCCTTCTATTCTGAGAAAGCATTCCTCTATCCCGAGGAAAACCGAAGAACAATGTTACTTCTGAAAACTAAAGGAGAGCCACCTCGCGATACCTTTTATCAACAAGAAGGAACGAAGGGATGCTTCGCTTCGCAACGAAGGAAGGTGGGAGTGGTTGGTGCCTACGGTTCGCAAATCCACGCTAGGCAGGAACAATCGCGATCGAAGCGGGAGATCGTGATGTTTCATGATCGAGTGAGAGGAAGCGGGGGTCGGACAAGGCTCCACTTCTAACAGGTAATCCATAAATTGGTCTTGGTCTTCAATATTCTTACACTCATCGCATATAAAATGATGCTAAATCAAAATTTTTTTGTTTGGAGAAAGACTAACTAGACTTGGTTACTTAAAATAAATAATGTGCAAAAGGGAGGGATGAAAAGCTTCGCCTTCGAGAATTCTTTCATGGAGTTTATTTATAGATGACACACCACGAATAAATCTCCATCATCCGACATAAATCTCGATGTATGACATAGATCTCAAATGAACCTTTTGAGCAATAAATGTTCAAACTTTGATTAAAAGTTATCCATTGCTCTGATTTCAGCGAACTTATTGTCAAACTGACTTTCTCAACGAGACAGACGCAATGATATCAACATTGATCCAATCTCAACTAAATTGATCCTCAATCAAGCTATTAAATCATTTTTGAAAGCTTTCTAGACACAATTGTAAGCTCAAACAGATGTAGAATTGAACTAGTTTATAATCAAATAGAACGTCTCGACAGGATGACTCCAAGAAGCCCAAGCTCGCTCAATTTTTACATTATTAAGGCACTCAAATGTCTCTCAAATGTCATTTGCTCGATGGAAGCTCTTTGGACCGTTCGATCAAAGTGGTTCATATTCCTGCATAAATTGCATCCAGAATATGATAAATAGAGCCTCACCACTCTCATGAGGAAGAATGAGAGCTTGAAGCTTTAGAAAGAACTTGAAGTTTTGAGAAGAGACTTAATTCCAAGCACCACTCTTGCCGCAGTCGACCACCGCCGTCTGCCACCGTCGACCACTGCCAATCTCTATCGACCATCGCTAACCGTCTTCGATCAACGCTAACCACCGTCGACCACCAGCGACCGAACGCCGACAATCGTTATCGGTCGTCTCTAGTTGACATTGTAATTTGAAAAATATAGTAACCATTTGCCACCATAGGACAAATGATTGCAACTGTAATCATTTTTTATAGAGAAACTCTTCAGTTGGGTTAGTCTCCATGATTTATCCCTTTTTGAGTTTTCTACGTAATAACTCCTAATGTCATTATTAGTTGTTTTCTATTTTCTGAGTGAGTGTTGAACCATGCTAAGACGATAATCCACTACTCCAATGTCGCGAAATTTCTAGCATCACATCAATAAAGAACTTGCACTAAACACTTTCAAATAAATATGAAGAAGTATAATAGAACTTAGAGAGATTTGGTTTGAAAGAAAAGAGAAAAATGTTCGAGAAAACTAAAATTTTTATAAACTCAAAATCACAAAAAAAAAATATAACCCTCAAACTCACACAAACACTATTTAGAAGCTCAAAAAATCTTTCTACATATTTGATTCATAACCAATAAAATTACATAGTATTTATATAAGTTTAGATGTCATCGACACCACACATTATTCAATAATTAAATAAATCTCAACCATTCATTTTTCACCTATCACATCTTCTACACATATGCATCACATATCTCATCTAATACTGACTTTTCATCAAATCAACTTTAAAATAAGTTTAATTATTCAAAACAAGTTATTTCTTACATGAAATAAGTTTATTTCTAACTCCCCCCATTAAACTTGATTTATAACTCCATGAATATTGTGGAACTTCACAAACATTTCCTACTTTAGCGGCTTAGTAAAGATATCTATCACTTGACTTTGAGACATCACGTACTTCAACTCAACTTCTTTTCATGCAACATATTCTCTTTTATAATGATAATGGGTGTCAGTGTGCATGCTTATATTATGAAAAATGAGATTTTTTTTATCAATACAAATGATAATTTATTGTCAATATGTATCTCAATGAGCACTTCTTGTGGAAATTATAATTCTTTTAATAAATTCCTTAGCTAAAATGCATGACAAACCCATGAAGTAGCTGTAACATATTTAGCTTCACTAGTTGAGTGAAACAATATGATTTTTCTTTGATACCTAGGTGAAGGCAGTATCTTAAATAAAAAACATAAATTCAGTGGTACTCTTTCTATCATCGAAATCTCCACCCTAGTTGCTATCATATATATCCTATACTTTTATATATTTTTTTTTATAAAAAGAGTAAAGCAATCCATAGTTTAATGTACTTTAATTCATCGAAGCATTCTCTTAGCTTATTTGTAACGACTGATTACTCCAACTGCATAAGTAATATTTGTCCATATAAAAATCAAGTAGGTTAGAGTTCTCCAACGAAGCTTTTATAAGGAGTTAGATCCACCTTTTTTTTTATCATTTTTGGATAAATTGGCCTCATATTTTGTTGGTATTCCAAAAGGACAAGCATTATCCATTTTAAACTTTTTAAGTGCTTATGTAGTATAATCTTCTTAAGCGATAAAAATGTATGTATCTTCTCTCCTTATTTTATTGTCATGAGTGTAAGTCATGTGTAAATATGGAAGTTTAGATATTAAACATGTAAATAAGTAAGAATTGTGTTACATACATAAATATTCCTAGATTCAAATGAAGTTTTTTTTTATGATATTAAATATTTTTTTTGATATTTTTATATAATATTTAAATCGTAGATTTTTTTTTAAATTAATATTAAATATTTAAAATATTTAAATATACATCACTTAATTTCTATTTATTTATTTCATTTTATAGATTTAATACATAAATTTTAATTTATTGTATGTATGTAAATGTATATGTCATTTTTCTGAAGGTTAAAATAATAATTTTTTCATATGATATTATCAATTAAGGATTTATGTGATATAAATTAAAAATAAAGTTTAAATATGTAAATACATTGCACTTCGTGGTATGTACGCAAACGCCGCTGGATTATTTGGATCACGAGTCTAGAGAATTCTAGCAGTCGTATTTGACGGCGTCATGCGAGCTTGGCCTTCCCCGAAATTCATCCCACAATCGGGTCACCGACGTTTCGTAATACCGCCGCAATTATTTTGCCGGTATGACCGGTCACCAAACAATCCAAGGCGACATGCCGCTTCTAAAGCGGCCTTACTCTTTTGACGGTAATCTGACCGCATGAGTAATGTTAGGGTTGAAGGTCGGCCAATAATACTATAAATAGTACCCAAAAGGGGGAGGGGTATCTTGTCCGCTGCTCACTTTGATATAATATTGTTCTAGCTCTCAGGCTCTTGTTCCTCTCAAGGTCTGTACCTCCTCCTTTTTCTTTATCTGGATTTTTTTTCCTTTTGGTTTTCATCAATTTTGTTAGTTGTTTTCTGGTTTTAATTATTCGGTTTCGACCATACGATTTAAAGGTGAATCTGTTAAGTTTTGTTGAAGTAGAAACTTTATATTATTGAGCTTTGATCTATATTTATGTACGGTTTGATCTAGATCGAGATAACTGAAGGGGTGGTACATAATGATCTGGCACAAGTAGATCAACTTTTTGTTTTTGTTTGTGTCTGCTTAGGATGTTATTTTATCTGTTATATCTTAAAAGACCTCGGTTACTTTTGATTTTTATACCCAGATCTTCATGCTCTATTGAATTTCGGTGTTATTATAAAATCTTATTTATTGAGGTTTTTATTTCAATAATTTTGCTCTCTGATCAGACTTTGCATCTAATTTCTGAGTTTTTTTTTTTATTTTACTTGGTTGCGTTGGATTCGCGTTGGATTCGTTGGTACTTTCTCTTAGATCTATTAAATCTTGTTCTGTTGAACTCACAGAGGTTTGATCCTATTGTTACAGATGCAGATCTTCGTGAAGACTCTTACTGGCAAGAGCTACTCCCTTTGATATAGTTTTGTTCTAGCTCTGAGACTCTTGTTCCTCTCAAGATGCAGATCTTCGTGAAGACTCTTACTGGCAAGACGATCACCCTCGAGGTGGAAAGCTCTGATACCATCGACAACGTTAAGGCCAAAATCCAGGACAAGGAGGGTATCCCACCGGATCAGCAAAGGTTGATTTTTGCTGGCAAGCAGCTTGAGGATGGTCGCACCCTTGCCGACTACAACATTCAGAAGGAGTCAACCCTGAATCTTATTCTCCGTCTCGTCTGCGGGGAGGGATGCAAATCTTTGTTAAGACTCTTACCGGCAAGACTATCACCCTCGAGGTGGAAAGCTCTGACACCATCGACAACGTCGTCTGTGGGGAGGGATGAAAATCTTTGTTAAGTCTCTTACCGGCAAGACTATCACCCTTGAGGTGGAAAGTTCTGACACCATCGACAACGTGAATGCAAAGATCCAGGATAAGGAAGGCATTCCTCCAGATCAACAGAGACTGATCTTTGCTGGCAAGCAGCTGGAGGATGGTCGCACCCTTGCTGATTACAACATACAGAAGGAGTCCACTCTCCATCTTGTCCTCCGCCTGAGGGGTGGGATGCAGATCTTCGTGAAGACTCTCACCGGTAAGACTATCACCCTAGAGGTTGAAAGCTCAGACACCATCGACGACGTGAAGGCCAAAATTCAGGATAAAGAGGGCATCCCTCCCGATCAGCAAAGGTTGATCTTCGCCGGCAAGCAGCTGGAGGATGGTCGTACCCTTGCAGACTACAACATCCAGAAGGAGTCCACACTCCACCTTGTTCTACGTCTGAGGGGAGGGATGCAGATCTTCGTGAAGACTCTTACTGGGAAGACCATTACCTTGGAGGTTGAGAGCTCGGACACCATCGATAACGTGAAAGCCAAGATCCAAGACAAGGAGGGCATCCCTCCGGACCAGCAGAGGCTTATCTTTGCCGGAAAGCAACTTGAGGATGGGCGCACTCTGGCGGACTACAACATCCAGAAGGAGTCCACTCTTCACCTAGTCCTCCGCCTTCGTGGTGGGATGCAGATATTTGTGAAAACTCTTACTGAAAAAACTATTACCTTGGAGGTGGAGAGCTCGGACACAATTGACAACATGAAGGTAAAGATCTAAGACAAGGAAGGGATTCCACAGGACCAGCAGAGGCTTATCTTTGTCGATAAGCAGCTTGAGGATGGTCGCACCCTTGCAGACTCTAATATCCAGAAGGAGTCCACACTCCACCTCGTTCTCCGCCTTCGTGGGGGGTTGTGATTGCTGCTTTCGTAGTCATCGTTTGCTGAGCCCTGTTCGTGGGTGGTTGCCGTCTAAGTCATGGAAGCCCTAGTTTGATTTGCTTGAACTATCTTAGTTTCGCTTGTGTTTATTTTAGTCCGCGTCTGTTGAATTTATATGTCGTCTGTGTCGTGACCGTGAACGCTTTATGCAGTATCCTTACTATTTATCCATGTTCTGTTTAATTAATCTACATGTAATGTTTTGTGTTCGTAATGCTATGTCTGTCAACTTTGCTTTAACTTGAAATTCTTTGGATGTTTATATGGTTTGTGAATTTCCTAGCTATGTTCTGTAGAAGAGAGCTGCTTTGTTGGATTATGTTGCAGCTGTTACGCTTTAACAGTCGCGGGGTCTTTGCTGCCCTTTTAATTGTTTTGGGCTTCGATTATGTTGCAGCTGTAACCAGAGGGAATCAAGACGAGGGAATTGTGATTTGTTAAAAACATTTAATTTTGAACATTCCTTGTTTTCCTTGAAAATTCTCTTTCCGTTACTCCACGAATACTACCATTACGAAATCTCTTATTCCTGTGAATCACAGCCCTTCTTCCTAACTTTTCACATCGTCAATTTTAGGGTCGGTTTGGGACCATGGCATGGGAGGGTCGCTGCTTGAGGCCGCGAACTTTTGTCGTGTGGCGGGGCGTCTCACTTGATTTGGGTAAAAAGCAGGCTGCGGGATCTATCCCGCGGCACAACTTTCTCGTTCGGCTTCTTAGCATTACCCCCCCTCGTTCGTTCGGCTTGTGCTCCTTCGCTCGACTCCGGCTTGCGCCCTCCCTCACTGTCGACTCTGTCCCGCTCAACTCCGGTATTCTCTCCCCCCTACCTCTTCTTGCTCCCTCGCTCGCTCCCTCCCTGTCGCTCCCTCCCTCGCTCTCAAGATCAACTTCTAGAGTTGGTGAGAACCTTAATTTAGCTTTGCAGCTAAGGAAGTTCACTTTTAATGAACTTAAATGTGCCACAAGAAACTTCAGACCAGAAAGCCTTCTAGGAGAGGGAGGATTGACCGTGTTTCAAAGGTTGGATTGAAGATAGTGGAATTGCTCCTGTGAAACCTGGTCTAGATAACTTTCAAGGTTCTTGCTTCTTCTCTATTTCTTTCTTTATATTTTTTTTTCATCGTTCCCAAGCTTCTACTGTTGATCTCCATCATTTTTTATTAGAGAAAAGTGTAGCCCTTGGATTAGAACATGCTCTTCTCCTCTATTTTTCAAAATTTTCTAACTTGCTCGGTGATTTGTGAAATGCTGATTTGTATTGAAATCCTTTATTTTGCTTGATTTGAATGCTGTGTATTGAAATGCTGCTTGATAATGGAGGCATTAATCTGATATTCCGTGTTAATTCATATTTGACGCTTCACTCTTCAAAGAAAAATCATAAGTTTATGGGTTTGTGGCATTTTTTTCAATGGCTTTCCCCATTTTTGTAAAAGAGTTTTCAATGGGAGGTGGTTCTGCTTGAATTTAATTTTGTAAGAGCTTCGATGGCCCATGTACTTGCAAGTAATCTTTGCATTCCTTGCACCAGTGGTGGGCATGGTTGATGTTTTTGCTTGTAGATTGAACACAATGCCAAGCTTTAAAGAAAATTATTATTTAAATGATGCTATGGGGTCTACTTCTCCTTGTCATCAACTGCAATTCTTATTTGCATTCCTTGCATCAGTGGTGGGAATGGAATCGTTGGTGTTTTCCTGAAATTTGAAGTGTCGATTAATTAGCCTTCCTGCAGCTGGGATTAATCGTTGCCTCTAATCATAACTTTTCTATAACTTTAAACAACTATTTGGCGCATTAAAAGTATATGGTAATTTGTAATTTATGGAAGTTGTGCTCTGTCTTAATTTTTCTTTTTAAAATTTTATATTTGATACTATGTTTTAGTGCATAATTCGAGTGATGTACTATTCTATTTTATACTAAGAATATTTGATTGTCATTTCCTCTACTTTTGAGATTAGACATCTGAATTTGTTTTGAAGTTAAATTTAGGGGTAAAATGGTCATTTTGTCAGAAACAGCTGCCCCAAAACTGTTTTCACACAGTTGCACCCAACAAACAGCCAAATTTTTTGCAGCAGCTTTCTGGGGCAATGCATCTACAACTGAAAAGCTGCAGCTGCGCCAATGAGAGTGTTAGTATAATCACTTAAATTCTTAACTCTTCATAACTACATTATATTTCCCCATTATTTTTACTTGCTCAATAATTTCAATCGGCTTAAAAAGTTTTCCAAATAAAATAAAGTTTCAATTTGATCTTAATTATGAATTTATAACCTTTGAACTTCATCTATCTTTTTTTTTTCCCTCTCTTTCTAATTCCTAATACTTATCATTTTATTCGTAGGAGAGGAAGAGCCTTCCCAAAATCGATCTGAACTCCGTATGTTAAAATCTCCATTCCTCTACAAGCAGCATTCTATGGATTCGGCACGGAGAGTTGGATGCGTCTTTTTGGGGATTCTATGCGAAGCCAAAGAATTTTTCTTTTTCGCTTCCTGGTATGTATTTGTAATTAATTTTTCCTGAATGCATTCTCTCTACATTCTATCGGCTTCAACCTTCTCGTAAGTTCATTTCCCGACAGATAATTCTACCGCAAACCATACTAGTCGCCCTTCCTGATGAAGTCATTTTTTTTATTTCTTCCGGATTCTTTCTATTTTTTGTGTCATGAATATATTGATAAAACTTTATATCATTGCTTTTTTCTGTGAATGAACAAAATTGATTGATTTTTGTCTAGCTTGTTGAACTCTAGTAATTAAAATGAATTTTAAATATTGAGTTCATGTAAAATATTTCTGTACGTTAGAAATTCGGCTTCATGAATCTCGGGGAGATCCAATAGATAAAAGGATAAAGAGTATGGCTATGGATTGCGTAAGATCAAAGGGCCTATAGATTGAAGATCAAAAGTTCACTAGGAAAATTCCAAAATACCTACTTGATTGACAACTCCACTTAATCGGGATTAGAGGTCGACAGTGCAGGCCATCCGAACTCAAGGACTAAGGACAATCGAGCTGAGCAGAGATTTTGACCTATATCTTGCCACATCTTGGCTTAAGGAAAAAGTTTGACATTAAAAATTATCTCACGGACGCACTTGAGATTCCTCAACAAGTCCCTAGAACTGGTCGTAACATAATCAAGATCTCATATTGTGAAAGAGTGAGCAATATATTAGATTACAGTGATTCACCCTCTGACCGATAATTTAGTCTTGCTCTGCGGACAAGTTTCTCATATGAGGATCAATAGCCGGCAACTAGAGTAAAATATTTTAAGCTGATCGAGTTAAATCTGACTGATCAGAATGCCATCCATCAAAGGTCGACTAAAAATCTCGATTTGGCACAGCATAATCAAACAAACAGATCTCGTTGAACTAGGAGCTACCAATTTCAACCGATTGAGTCATAAGAAACAGAGTCGATGGCTTATGCATGTGAAATATCAAATATATCCGGTAATATCTCATTAAAACAAGGGCATTTATAAAGAGGGGATCATTTCGTGAGAAATGACTAATCAAATCATTCATATTGTTGTTCATTATTATGCATGTCCCTCTCTGTCTATCACTCTCTTTTCTGCCTTATTTTCTATTCACTGAGCGTGATTTATGGACAAATCAGGATTCAAAATCTAAAAATGTGTGGTGAGCATAGATCATGTTACAAACAAAAAAAAGAGTAACACAGAAGAAATCCTGATAGAGACACTTGCAATATGAAGTGCACTAGAGAGTTTATGCATAAGCAAATTTAGGAGCCGAAAGACCAAATTATGGATGTCTTTAGGGAGGCATTGGCTCGAGGAACGAAGCAGAACCCCTGAGTAAGAAGGTCGACACCTAACGGCAGAAGGGCACTCTTGCTTGTGGAAAGGGGATGAGATTCTCAGTACTTCGATAGTGCTAGGTTAATACTAATAGATAGACAACAGTTTGAGTGTACCGAGGCGCGTTGCTAGTCAGAGAATGCATTTTCTCAACAGATTTCTCAAGTTGAACTCTCAAAGATATTTTAAATTTATACTCTGTAATCTAATAAGGATCAGACTGATTTAACCGGTCACATAGCCTCTTTCAAGTCGACTGCCTGCTTATTGAAGATCACAAATGCATTAAAGTGCCTCCTGTTCTTCACCAGGATGAGAGTAGACGCTCAAATGGTTCGATGAATTGCTATCAAGGGTGATCACCTCATTCACTAATTTCAAAAAGATGTTTGTGGCACAATTTGTCAATGTCCAGAACCCCCAAAAGAGTTCACAAGCCCTCTTGTAGATATGACGGGCAGCATGAGTCTTTGCTCGTTCATTACTCGATTTCTTAAGGAGATGTTGGAAGTGCGAAATCTGAAAACCACAATAGCACGCACCGCCCTTACCCAAGAGCTGAAGGAAGGTCTGTTTCGATGTGCTCTTCTGGTTTGCAACGATCGAAGACCCTGGCGGAGTTGCTAGAGTTGGCCAATAATTACATATCGGCTGAAGAGTACAATACCAACCTTGCTTTTTCCAGAGTTCCACCCTTTGTTTGCGGAAGAGGACCTCAGGGATGAGAGGAGAGCAAGGGATTGTTCATGTCTTTTCACTCCTTGTGCTATGAAGACAATCGACCAACCAGGGACCCCGGACGAGCCGACAAACCCTACAAACATGGTAGTTAGGCCAGTTACCTTGGCAAACATTTGACCTGGTATAATGTGCAATCTTTGTTGCACTATGAAGTGATTGAGACTATCTTGTTGAGTGTATTCATGGTCGAGATAGTTGAGGTTATTCAAAAGAAGAATTGCTTCAAGAAAGCACCCCCGATGAAGGCTAGAGCCTATCTCCAGTACCCAAGGAAGTATTGTGCATACCATCAGGATTATGATAATGATACGGAGGATTGTCGACACCTAAAGTATGATCGAGGAGCTAATTTGAGCCAACAAGTTAAATGAGTTTGACAACAAGGGAATGCTCCAGTAGAGGAGATCTCGAATGAGTCGGTCCATGAGCATGTCTTTCAAATTGTTGGTATAGTCGCAACCATATTTGGAGGAGCTAGAGAATCTTCTCACTAGGCCAGCCTCAAGAAGCTTAGGTCGGAAGAGATGTGCGTGGCCGCTTTCGCCCAAAAATTAAGCTTACAAACCCCTATTACCTTCATTGACACAGATTTCCCCTCAAACGAAATCCTTATAATGATGTCATAGTCATTATCGCCTTGATAGACAACTACCAAATTGATAGTATCCTGATAGGCTTGAAGATTCTATTCAGGTCAGTGTACGTCAAGATAGGCCTGAAGAATGACCAACTAACAATAGTTGTTAGACTGCTTTTAGGTTTCTTTGGCAAGAGAAAAAGCTTTGGGAACAATAGCCCTGTCGTTCACCTGGGGAGAAGAGGAAACACAATTCACTAACATGGAGGACATCTTGTTATACTTGGTAGTTGATTCACCACCAACCTATAACACAATTTTCGGTCAACCACTGCTCAACAATTTCAAAATTGTCACTTCAACGTCGTTCAGGGTAACCTGAAGCAGTCTCAGACCTGCTACCTTGTGGTGGTTGGAAGTGTGGAAGAGAAGCAACTCCACCTTTAGAACCTAACTGAAAGGGGCCTTCAGACCAGCAAGACCACTCTTGAAATTCCCGTGATCGAAGGCGAACAGGGTAAGTCTTTTTTGATAAGTGAAAATTTTGGCGCGGATTGAAAAATTTGTTGATTCAGGTCCCTTTGGATGAGCAAGGTATTTTCACTAGGCCAGCTACAGAAACGCCTGGGACACCAATCAACGTTTCTTGCCATTGATTGAATGTAATATTTGACGCCTTACTAATGAAACATAAGATGAGGTCTTTGGCTCTTACCTTGGCCAAATCGATCCATGAGGAGGTGCAACAGCTGTTAGAGGCAAGATACGTTCGAGAGGTGCATTATCTGGCTTGGGTATCAAACTTGGTGATTTTGTAAAAAGTTAACGACAAGTGGAAGACATGCGTCAACTTCAAAAACCTGAACTCTGCGTGTCCGAAGAATAGCTACCTATTGCCGAAAATCGATGCACTGGTGGACTTAGCCATCAACCATTCAGTAATGAGCATCTTGGATTCCTTCTCCGGATGCCACAAGATAAAAATGCATTCAGCCGACACAGAAAATACTATTTTCATAATGAGCGAGGGAGTGTTTTGTTATGATGCAAAAAGTTAAAAATGCTGGTGCTAATTACCATTGGATAATGGATGTAATATTTAAAAAAATATATTAAAATGTATGTAAATGATGTACGCTTGTTAAAAGTAAAATGATCGAACAACACATAATAAATTTAAATGCATCTCCACCACCCCTCTAGAGCCCCAAGCCGGACTTGAGGCCATCAACTCGGTTCTAGTTAGAGAGGGGCTCGAGAAATACTTCTTAGTTTACTACGACAGTCTAGTCCTCCGAGGTGGCGAACTCAGGTACCCCATCTTGTAAAAATTAATTTTTGTTCTTTTTGTATTCACTCGCAGATTGTGTTGTACTTTTGAACGCATCCTATATGTATTATCATCAATCACTTACTCAAATATTCAAATCCATCATTACTTGACTATTACACTTTGGTTAGCTTCTCAAGTGGGTGGTGTAGCTCAACACGTTTGATATCTTCTATGAATCTCAGACCGCAATCTAAACGCGGGTCATAGTCTATTTCTTGGCAGACTTCTCTGAACCAAGCAAATCAAGCGAAGGAACATCAACCGAAAGTCAGATCTGGATGTTGTATGTTGACTAAGCTTCAAGCCAACCAGGGGCAGGACTCAGTTTCACTATGACCATTTTGATCGAGGAGCATGTTTACCACTCGATTGAAGTAACCAACAATCAGACCAAATATGAAGCCTTAATTGTCGAGCAACGACTTTCTTATGAGATAAGCGCTCAGTTTTTCTTAGTGAAATTTGACTAACAAGTGTTGGTGAATCAAGTCAGAGATGACATGATGATTAGATATTTGAACCAAACAACAACTGAGATCGAGAACTTTGAATATTTTAAAATTGAGCACATCTCCCAAGAGGAGAACCAACAACTGACTTTCTATCCAAGTGTATCTGCTTTTGAGAGGGGAAACCTTAAATACTGGTTTGGCCGACCATTGAAGAATAAAAAACAATGGAAGTGGAGATTGGAGAACCAAAAAGTTGAATGGGTCGCTACATAGCAATACCTCGAAATCGGGATGGTATCAGAAGACGTCGACTCGATAAAGTTCAAAATTAAGATTGCACAGTATCTCCCGATCGATGTAAAACTTTTCCAAAGGTCAGTCAGGTGCATTAGAGAAGAGGAGACGTAAGTTGTCTTCTGAGATATATAATATGGGGAGTGCAGAACCCACTCAGGAGGAAAAGTTTTGGTGCACAGTGTACAACAACAAGACTACTTCTGGCCGACACTATAGAAAGATGTTGAAGTGTTCTCTAGACAATGGGAAGAATGGTAGAAGTATGCAACACTACAACACGAGTCAGCTCACATGCTTCAGACGATTGCCAGTCCTTGGCTTTTCGTTGTTTGGGGATTAGAAATGCGAGGTCAGCTCAAGTTTCT